TCCCCCATGAGTGACGATACCCATTCCTTGTCATGGCTCACCCCGGTGGCCGCCTTCTTCGCGTTACCACCCCCCCTCTTTGACGCCATCCCTCAGATCTAGATCGGGATTGGTCCCTTCACGCAAGCTTTTTAGCCCTAGCGATGGAGTGTGTGCGAATGTGAATGGGGGGTGCGAGGGCGAGGAGGAAGACGAACGGAGTGGCAAAGGTGGGAGCGCGGAGTGCGGCGACGCAGTATAAAGACACCCAACCTACTTTTTGCATTCAAGGGTTTTTGGGAAACCGCACCATGCTGATTTGCGCCCTTCTGAATTCCCCAAAGCGGCGTGGTGGGCCGTTATCTGGGCTTCCGCGCAACTGCGGCTCATATCGCCCATTTTTTGACGCAACTTGGTACTGCACACTAAATATTCGCCGATCACTCCGCAATACCATCAAGGCTCAGTAATTTTTACTGTACAGTCATTACTCCGGTTTTTTCTCCATGATTTGCGTAATCGGCACTTCTTGATTTATCCGAGATTTTCACTTGTGGCTCGGGGACCACGTCATCATTATGATTCGATTTCTCACCATACTGGGGACTGTTGTTTCTGACCCTGGCACCATGTGACCACGTCACCTACTGTAAGGCTGGGGGAATAAGTGAGCACACTTCACCTTGCGGTGAATGTGCGTTTTTTATTTCAGGGCTCAGTCCGTGGACTGGTTGCTTGCTCAGCTGATCTTCTGCCTTTCTTCTATTTTCTGGACCCTGGCACCACGTGCCCACGTCACGTACTGTCAAGCTCAGGGACTAAGTGGACACATTTCACCTTACGGTGAGTGTTTTTTCTTTAATCTGTTCATTGGAAGACTCCGTGCCTCTTGAAGTTGAAGAAGATTATCTTCCTTTTTCGAGGTCAGACTCTAAGTGGGCACACTTGGTTCACAGCGAGAGATTTTTTTATTTTGAACTTGAGCTCCTTACATCCTTCTGGCAAGCCTTACTTGGGTAAGCCCATGCTCGGCCGGACAGTTAAGCTAATCGGTTACGGTCCACAACTGTTCGACGACTCATTAGGGTGGTCGGACCATGAGTCTGACTGCTCGGCTTTGTTTACACCTGCTCGGATAAGCTCAAGACGACGTTGCACAGCGGATACAATGTGCTCGGGGACTAGCTGTGGGGGGGTATGACCCCGGATACCCACGACAGACTATATGGGCTGCATCGCCAAGGGTGGTCCAGCCCACAAGACGAAGCCTTACGGAGCACGACGCTGCTCGGCGGGCCCCGTAAGACACCGGGAAGATATACTAAAGATACGGCGTAATCTGTTAGGATATGTTACGATCCCGTGATCCCTGTAATCTGTTATTACTTACCGGATATCTCCTAAATTTAACCGACTTGTAACCCTACCCCCGGCTATATAAGACGGATAGGGGACCCCTCAAAACATATGCAATATCATATGATAGCCAATACAAACCAACGGACCATAGGAGTGGGGTATTACGTCGTGCAGACGGTCCGAACCTGTCTAACTCTTGTGTCTCTGTTGCCTTCTTGTTCTTGATTACGCACACCACTGCCGATCAATCTACCTTCGTGGATACCCCTCATAGGACTGCCGACGATATCCTGTCGACAGGCGGGGACGAGGAGGAGGGCGGGGCGGAGTAGAGCAGCGGGGGCGGGTTGAGGGCGGCTGCCCGCTGGCCGGGGAGGCGGGGGTGGCGCGAGGAGGAAGAAGCGCGGGCAAGGGGTGGAACTAGAAAGAAAAAAAAAATCGGAGATTAAAACACTCGCAAGGGTGCGCACCCATGGGCGATGTGGCCGTGAGCAACAAATAGCGGCGTGGCAAGGGGTGGAGCGGCCACGGGCTTCAGTACATAGTTTGGCCCTGTTCGTCTCCGGCCTGCTCCACATCCTGCGCCGCCTCGACACGCCGTCCGTCAGCCCGGACCTTGAGGAGCAGAAGCTGCAGCAGGATCCGACCAGGGGCCAAACGCGGAAGCCGCGTGCAGCGTCGTGCTTCGGATCAGCAGACTCAGCCGGTTCAAAAGTGTTAGCGACCACGTCGAGTCGAGCACCGCTGACACCAGACGCATTGACGGGTGGAGGTGCGAGCGCGCACGACAAGCAGCCGGCCGCAGATCATGCATAGTAACTGTGTTCGGATTGGAAAAGGGCGATTCGACTCAAAGTTATCTTTTACTCCTTCCATCTCAAATTGTAAGACGTTTAACTTTTTTTTTTTACTTTCGAGTTTGATCACTCGTCTTATTCAAAAAATTTATGCAAATATAGTTAAATTTAAGTCATTCTTGAAGAATTTTTATTAATAAACCAAACCACGACGAAAGAAGTGATATTTTACACAAATTTTTGAATAAGACGAGTGGTCAAATTTGATGTCAAAAAAATCAAACGTCTTACAATTTGAAATGGATTGAATAGGATACATACAGATGGATTCAAAAATAGCTGTGATATGTCTGTCGAGATTTTATCTTTCTTTTTTTTTTTGGTTAGGATTGAGATCTTGGGTAATGCTAGACTCCGACTGTGCGTGGCTTTAATGGAGAGACGGATGCGGAGGGGGACCTTTTCTTTTGAAACGGAAGGACTCGAGAGGGACTATACGACCCGTATCTTTGGACGTGCCCACATGTCGTAGATTAATTAAACTAAGTGACGAACGAAAATAAGGGTATTTTGGGAATAAAAAAGCAGGTTGGATATATAGGTAGAGGTAGAGATTTGATTGATATACATACATGCGTGGTCTAGCGGATATAGTAAATCTTTTTTTATTTTGCAACTTTAGACTTTTTGATTACCATATAATTCTGCATGTAATCTGATAGACTTGAATTTGTATGCGATATGATTTGCCATGTGTGATATAGCTTGTGATTAGGTGTTGCCGTATGTGATTATTAATCATGTGTGATAGGGCCGCAATATTTTATATTCCTAGCTTAATCAATGAATTTAAAAATCCAAAAAAATCAAGGGCTCAGATTTGTTTGAGATATTACCTTCCAGTCTAGTAATTAAAGGGGTACCGTAGCATTGTCTAAAAAATTAGAGAATTACACGCACCCACGAGTTTAGCGAAGACAATGATGCTTATAGGAGGATTCTCTATTACTCGAACATATACTCCCTCATACTAAAAAATAAAGTCGTTTTGAAGAGTGACACGGTCTCCAAAGTATAACTTTGACTACTTATTTTTATAAAAAATATTTATCAAAAAGTGATATATGTATATTTTTATGAAAGTATTTTTCAAGACAAATCTATACATATAGTTTTCACATTTTCAAACTCAACAACTTAAAAGTTATTCATGATTTATATTTCCAATGTTTGACCTAAGCCTTGTCCAAAACGACTTCTTTTTTAGTATGGAGGGAGTATATGTCTGAACTAAAGAAAAAGATGGCCAATTTACATAAATATATTTTTTCCTGAGAGAAGTTCACATAAAGACCTTGATTAATAATGTAGTATTAATAATTAGAGAGGGTTATATTTGGCACAATTCCCCCATCTGACCGAGGGCGAGGGTTCGGGTCAATTTCGTGTCGTTCTTTCTTGTTTCTGACTGACAGCGCGTCCGGCTGGCTGGCCCATTATTTGTTCCCTTCGCGGCTCTTTTATTTCTCGCCCGTTACTCCTCGTCCAGCCAGACGCCAGACGGCCAGAGCCATATGCCATACTCCTCGTCTCCTCCCTTGTGCTCTCCTCCTCCTGCTCCTATCTTTATCTGTGTCCAGACCTGAAGATCGAAGCCCGAGAGGACCGAGGTAAGCTACTCATTCTCTCTGCCATGGCAGTAGCAAGTTCATTTGTGTGCGTCTCTCTCTCTCTCTCTCTCTCCGCAGCAAGTTCGCTCGCCTCGATCAGTCCATGCCCAAAGTATTTCTGGCTTCTTTCTTCTTGATTTTGGGGCCTGTTTGGTTCTTAGCCAGAACCGGCCACACCAAGTATGCGGCACGCCTAGCATGAGACGAGCAGAGAATGCGCCAGACTTTTGGCGAGAACAGCGGAGAAAAAAAAACACTACACATCTGTCTTCACGGGTGCGGCATGCCGCAGGTCGCCGTAAGTTTGGTCATCAATCTAACGGAAGCGAATGCTAGGTGCGGCGAGCTATGGCAAGCTCTGGTTAAGAACCAAACAGGGCCCTTGCTGACAACCTTTACCAAGCTCTTCAATTATGTTTTCTAGAGTGGATCAACTGATCAAGCTAAGCTCTGGTGACGACCTCTGGCATCAAAGTCTTAAATTTATCCACTTTGATTTCCTTTTTTTCCTTTCACGAACCATTTTCAGTTTAACGGGATTTCTTTTCCTACAAACTAGTCTTGTTCTAAGAGCAACAGCACACAGACAAATAGCAGTAGGAGTTACAGTACTTGGGAAAATCATCGTGCACAAATTCCCTGGGCCGGGGTTAGAAGGTCAGAGTTGCCGCCCACGCGTTTGACTGCAAAAAGGCAATGGCAGGACTTGACTGGCACGGGGCCGGGGCGCCTGGTCCGGCACGGCGCAAGCTGCCGCCGCAAATGAGCATTGGACACATGCCAATGGGTTTGATTTTTGACACGGTCATAGTCATGCACAGAGGGGAGGGCCGGCAACTTCCTTTCACTTTCAGCCAATATAACTGTAGCTCTCCCCAGACTATGTGCTCAGAATTTTCAGCTGAATGATAATAAAAAAAAAGGATTCATTGAATTGGTACTTTCTGTTCTCCGCGAAGTCATCGCCTCATAATATATTAGTAGAATTCTGTTACAACATGCATACGTAATATATTATGAGTCTGCATATTTGACTAACGTCTATTGCAATGGCAGGTGCGTCCGGCCAGGACCTTGACCAGGGGCGAGGAGAAAAGACAAGAGGGCTGCTAAATTTCCATCCAGGCCGGCGCGGCGGCGCCGGTATGTGCTGACACTGTGACAAGTGCGTCACCAGAGAAGAAACGATCAAAACATGTGGATGACAAAGAAGCTTGCCATCACGGTTCTGGTCGTGCTTACTTTCCTTTTGACTGCACGGTATTTGATAGAGCACGCTGCGAATTCAGGGACATCACAGTATCAGATCCTCCATCTGGTTCACCTCGAATGGTTCAAGAGCCCAGCGGATGCACAAGAAACCACCACTCCGGAAGTAGCAGTAGTAACAACAGCAGATGATGCTCCAACTTCAAACAGCTCGGGTTCCGGAAACTCCTCGCTTCAAGTGTTTGAGTGGCTGGACACATGGAACCAGATGACGCAGTTAGCCAACATCACCACTGGCCTTCCTCATGCGATCGAGGCGATCAATGATGGGAGAACTGCATGGCAAAACTTGACAGGATCAGTTCAGAATGCAAGCTCTCAGCAGAGAGAGAAAGAGGGACTCTGCCCATACTCGATTCGCAGAATGGACATTTCCAAGTCGGAGAATGGTGGCTTCGCCATTGATGTACCTTGTGGGCTGATTGTAGGCTCTTCAATAACTCTTATAGGAACTCCTGGAGTACTCTCTGGTAACTTCTGGATTGATCTTGTTGGGACGGCACTTCCAGGGGAATCTGAAAAGCCTATTGCACTGCATTACAATGTCCGTCTGAATGGCGACAAAGTTACTAAAGATCCAGTCATAGTGCAGAACACCTTCACCGCAAACAATGGCTGGGGGGTTGAGGATCGCTGTCCCAGCACTAACTATAGCAATGCAACTGAAGGTACTTCAATGTTACTACTTCACTCTTGCAAATAAGTTACTACTGTGCCTTGCACACTATACTTATCTGACGCCTTCTACAGTGGACGATCTAGGGAGATGTAATACAATGGTGGGCACAGAAGAAAAGGACATAAACAACTCAAAACATCATACAGCTGCCAAGAAACATGGAGAGCCAAGCAAGTATTTTCCATTTAAACAGGGATACCTTGCTATCGCAACACTGCGTGTAGGATCAGAGGGTATCCATATGACAGTTGATGGGAAACACATCACTTCATTTGCATATAGAGCGGTAAGCTTCTTCCACATCACCAAATGGATCAGTAAATAGATCTGATATGAGACCAAACCTAACGAACTGCTGCTTCTGTTATTAGGGTTTGGAACCATGGTATGTAACTGAAGTAGGAATTTCTGGTGATTTCAAACTTGTAAGTGCAATTGTAAGCGGCTTGCCCACGTCAGAAGACTTGGAGAACTCTAATATTGAATCACTGAAGTCACCACCGATTCCAGACAACAAAGATGTCGACCTTCTGATTGGCATCTTTTCAACAGCAAACAACTTCAAGCGTAGGATGGCAATTCGAAGGACATGGATGCAATATGATGCTGTGCGCCAAGGAGCGGTATTAGTTCGATTTTTCGTTGGCCTGGTAAAACACTAAGAGCATTAAGTAATACGGTATATAGTAAACTAACAAGAGTTATCTTTCAGACTAATTGTTCTTTTCTTTTGTTTTATAAAGCATACGAACCTCATGGTAAACGAGGAACTCTGGAATGAGGCACACACGTATGGTGACATCCAGGTGTTGCCTTTTGTTGATTACTACAGCCTGATAACATGGAAGACACTAGCAATATGCATTTATGGGGTAAAACACTACCATCACTAAGCTATACTTCTCCAGTCTCTGCTTCTTATGTTTCTCTGTGCTTGACTGCGATTTGTTTGTCCAGACCAGTGCACTATCAGCCAAGTATCTGATGAAAACAGATGATGATGCTTTTGTCCGTGTAGATGAGATCCAATCCACAGTAAAACAGCTTAATGTCAGCCATGGGCTACTTTATGGTCGCATAAATTCTGATTCCGGTCCCCACAGAAATCCTGAAAGCAAATGGTACATAAGCGAAGAGGTAAATTCTTCACATAAAAGGGTTTATTACAATCAAATCTAAAACTTCAAAACCCTGCCATAAATGGTAAAAGAAAAAAAACGAATATTGCAATGCCTTTTTATCTGAATTTCAGAAGAATCTAGTAGCCAAAGGACATCTATGCAGGTTCATTTGCAACATATTGCTATCATAACATAAACTCAAGGAGTCACATACACGTTATTTATAATATCATCATCAACAAATGTAAATGCCAACATTTCTGATATGTTCTCCAGGAATGGCCTGAAGAGAAATACCCACCATGGGCTCATGGACCAGGATATGTAGTTTCACAAGACATTGCAAGGGCAATCAACAATTGGTATAAAGCAAGTCGTTTAAAGGTATGTATATTCAAGTGGAAACATAATCTGTGACTTGTACATACGAAATAGAAAATCGCCTTCGAAGATCCCTCAAGCTACAGAACAAGGTATCTGAAGGCATGATTGTTCGCACAGAAAAAATGAACTGCTCTATGCCCTAGCAAACAAAAGCTATAGCTCATGTGAAAGACCCAAGCTATAAGCCCGTAAACAAGTAACTCAAAGTAATCTTGTTCAGAAAGAATATAGAAGCTATGATATCCATGAAAAGCCATAGACAAGCCTAGTTATGTGCACAAACTGTCCACATTTTCACTTTTCTGTTTCCCTAAATGTTCTGAATGAATATCACAGCATGTGTCCTGCGTCCAAACTTGTAGTCTTGCAAACTCATATAAGGTGACTTCAGTTCTATTAATAGTTAGCTTGCCATCTGATGTGTTTTACTCCTGCTTCCAGAAGATGGTAATCAGATTAGAAGAGCTAAATTAAATGCTATTTGCACCCAAATGGTTTTTTGCAGATGTTCAAACTAGAGGATGTAGCAATGGGCATATGGGTAAATGATATGAAGAAAGATGGATTACCAGTCAAATATGAAACAGACAAGAGAATTAACATTGATGGCTGCAATGATGGGTATGTTGTTGCTCACTACCAAGAACCAAGACATCTGCTATGCATGTGGGAGAAGCTCCTAACGACACAACAAGCAGAATGCTGCAGTACTAAGTAATGGAAAAGGAACTTCAATGCTTAGATCTTGGCCCGGTTTATGTATCAGGCCACTCGCTAACTTTGCGATAACAACAAAGAAGCCTTTAACATCATTTTTTTTTTCTGGTGTGCAGCACTAATGTAACTAAACTCAATGAATTACACAGATAAAGTTAGTTCACCTCATCCCAGCTTATCTATATTTCCAGAGGATGTTTTTTAGGAGGTACTAAAAGTCAGGAGAAATTTAATATTTTGTTGCCTCTAACATTATGGGGATATAAGCACTCTAGGTGTATAAACTACTTGCAGTCTGAGGGCACATTTTAGCAAACTACAATGATAATCTTTAGCATAGAAGTCCTCTGAAGCTAAACATGAACCATAACAACTGAGAACCTTAGGTCTTTAGCCACAAGGGAACATGGATTATAGCTATAATCAAGCATTCCAGATTTAAAATTTGCCAACTGCATGATGCCAAAATAAAACCATGCGGCAATTGCATTTACAGTACAAGATATGGTGAAAAATTTGTCATAATAAAAAGTAGCGTGCACTGTTTTTGCATTGATCCTTACTCGAGACAGCTTTGCAGTGTTCTTGCTTTTCTCCTCTTGTGCACTCCACCCTTAACCTTTGGGGCTTGGAAATAGGACTGGTAACTTAAGCTTCTTTTGTTCTACCTAAATAGAAAGGGAGAGATCCTGCTATTTTTCTTCCAAAAAGAAGCAGGAAAAAACAAGTTGTTTGTATTCATTCTTAAATTCATGTCCATAAGGAAAAATTTCAAAGAAAGAAAAGAAGAAGCAAAATGCTATTGCTAAACTCCTCTGGCTGATTACCACGCAGCTATGGTTAGGGAGATCCACAGCTGCTCATCATTGTCCTTTGTTCTCCAACAACTAAGCCTCAGGCCCATTCTTACTCCACGATGTAGGAAACATAACTTGTGAGTTCGATGGGACCTTTAGCTGTACATCAACTTTAACCTACCATTGCTGCTTATATGATAAGTGAGTATCCATTCAGAGAGATTCAATCAGGCTTCTCCAGGTGAACTCCATGTATCTGAGCACTACAAGGCTGAGCTTTGAAATGGCATGTGTTGCCGGTTCCATTTGGTGACGTGATAGGATAATCTTGCTTGACTGAACCCAAACTCAAAGGACTGCCATTTCATAATCAATGCAGTAAAAAAGCATAGGGTGCATCTGAATGCCAGCTCACAGCCTTGCCACATTGACAAGCCGCTCCCTGAAATCATCATCGTTGGTTGTTAGCATGTCCTTGAGTGGCATCTCGATGCCCCTTTCCCTCAACGCCTCGTGCCTCGGTTTGATCCTCCCCTCCAAACTGAATGCAAAGTAGTGCGGGAACTCGGCTAGCTCCGCGGCAGGGTCCCTCCGCATGCCCTCGGCGAGGAACTGGAGCTTAGGCGTGAGGTTGGTCTCGATCCCGTAGGAGAGGATGGCGGGCGCGCGCCTGAGAACTGCGCAGACGGCAGAGTCGTCGAGCCCCGTAGCGTCACGGAGGAATTGGAGCTTGGGGAGGAGGGTGCGCTCAACGGAGAACGCCAGGAGCAGCGCGGCGGCGAGAGGGAGCGGCTCCCGGCGGAGCATTACGCGGCGGCGGAGGAAGAGCAGCGCGGGGCGGAGCGTATCGGGAACGGATGCGGCCAGGAGGCGTGGGGACCGGACCACCGCGGAGCGGAGGAGCGGCGGCGGGAGAAGCGCGTCGGCGGAGAGGAAGCGGAGCGGCTCCTCGGGCGGGGAGGTGAGGAGGGAGGGGAAGGCGGAGAAGACGCGCGCGGCGTCCCGGGCTGTGAGGCCGTGGGAGGTGAGGAGGCGGAGGGAGTCGCGGAGGAGCGGCAGCGGCGCCGAGCGGAGCACGGGGTTTATGGCGAGGAGAGGGAACGGGTCGAGGTGGAGCTCAGAAGAGAGGAAATGGATCTTACGGCGAAACTCCACGCCGGCGCCACCGGCGCCGGTAGCGATGGGTGGAAGGGGGACGATAGGTGGGAGGCGTGCGCGGCCGAGCATAGCCATGGCGGATTTGGATTGGGGCTTTGGGGGGAGGGAGGCCGACGGCACTACGGCAGCGGTGTGTGACCGTTATCCATTGTGTCTGCCGCGTTGTTCCGCTGCGATGAACGGTTATTGGTTGCGTGCAATACTTTTTTTTTTTGCGAGGAAGAAATTTTTAGGGTTTTTTTTTTCTTTGCCATCACAGCATCGTTCTAGTTTGATTTTGACCACCGAACTCAGTCTTATACTATTATTAAAACCGTTCATACGTGGCTATTGAGTTACTTCAAATGGTGATTTTGGTGGCATCGATGACAAGTGGTACTGGGGCCATTGTCAGAACTCTTTCTCCTCCCCACACCATCTCTCTTCACACAAGCGTCGTGGCTGCCCTCTTCTAGCAATGCATCCTCCTCCTCCCTTGCTAACGGAGCCACCTTCCAATAACCTTAAATCATCGGAGCTTGTCGGTGAAGCTGAAAGAAATTTTTTCTTTGTACTAAAAAAACATTGTAAATATTTTTATATAATGAGTATACCTAGGCTCCTAAAAGTTTAGGCTCCACCACTATCCTCCCTCCTCTTGGGCAGCACAATTGTCTCCTCCTCCTCTACTCATTTATGATACCGCCTCATCCTCATCCGTACTGTAGGCTGCAGCTACGCCCACCTCCCTCCTCCTCACCCATACGAGTATGACCGCACACCTCCTACTCCTCTCCCTCGATCCCTGGATGGCACGAACTTGCGTGCCTCACCGGGGATTTTCCCCCTAAGGAACCGGACGGGTGTGTTAGTAGTGTGTGTGCCTGTGTGTCCGGTAGACGCATCCTGAGATTTCTCGGGCGGTCCCATCTGTACTTGAGCATGTGGTCAGTATAGGTATGCAATACGAGTCTTACATGATATGACAATGCTCCTGGTGGTGCTAAAGAAAACTCCTCTCCCTCCTGTCGAGCGTCGCCCTACACCACACGAGAAGAGATGCTCTATCCCTTTCCACACCAAGCTCGCTACCTCTAATGCCTCCTCCTCCTCCTCCTTCCTTCTCCCCTTCAGTAACTAATCCTCTCTCCCTTTCGCTCTCTAGCTCGTGCACTCCTCCACACCACGTCGCCTCACACCACCACAGCCTCTTTCCTCCTCCCCTTCCGCAACCGGTGCATCTCCTCTACCTCCAACACGCACCACCACCATCTTTAATATTTTATTAAATATTTTCTATTTAAGTTTATTGTTGATTTCTTTCTATATACTCATAGCATTTGTTATTTCTCTTTTTCTTCTTTTTTATGTTGCTCTAATTAGTTATTTTATTTTTAATTTTCATGTTTTGTTTTTGTATTTCTTATATTCCATGGTATGCGCATGACGTCCATGTAGTATAAATGTGATGTTCTATGATATATTTAAGAATGTTCACATAATATAAATGAGATATTCCATGTTATTTTCTTCTATTGTGTGGGTTTTTTTTCCTTTTTATTAGTTTTCCCCTTATGTTCTGCTCAAGCTTTTATTAATTTATTTTTATTTAAATAATTAATTAATTATTATCTGCATATTTATTGCCTTTGTTACTTTCTTATTTCCCTTTCTTCTTCTTCTTTACTTTACTCTAACTAATTATTTGATTGCTTTTATTTTCACATTTTACTTTTTTATTTTCCTATATTCCATGATAGATGGTATGCTCGTGATGTTCACATAGTATGCATGTGGTGTTCTGTGATATATTTTAAAATGTTCACGTAGTATGAATTCCAGCAAACGTTGATGTTTTCCCAAAAGTCTTCGTAGACATCTTTTTGATGAGAAACCTAATTCGTTAAAATTCCGTCTAGTAAAACAGAAGAATTATAAATTTCTAAAATTATAGATAGGAATATGACGAATATAAAGCCATTGCAGCCCTCATAAAAGGAGTAGTCCCCCAACCCGGACCAACTTTACGATTATCTTTGAGTATTTACATTGAAAGCATCTAGGCCCTTAGTTGGGTTTTGGTGATTAATGACGACACGAGATTACTATGACTAACGTATGTTTTGCAGAGGCAATTTTAGTTAGGTCATGGTAATGGAAATTGATTGGCCAATCATGGTTGTCATACACCTGTTGATGAAAATCGTTTTGACTTTCAAAGGAAGGACAACAAGGTTAAGGACGAACTAGTTCTAAGTATCGTTTGGCGTTAGAGAGACACTTAGAGTAGTTTAGGACTTTGTTTTTCTTTTGGCCGTACTATTAAGGGGATATGGACTAGTAGCTTGACCTAGGTGAGTCTAATGGATTAGGTGTGGTGCACACATGTCAAACTTAGCACTAGGTAGCTCAGGAATAGCCCTAAGATCGATAGGAAGTCAACTTCATTCTTGAAGGATTTTGAATTGGAAGTGAATGGAGGGTCAAATGACTGACCAAATGCTGGTTTGGTTGTGACCGGTCGCAGCGTGAAGAGTCCGCTCAGTTCATTTGATTAGCAGCTATAGTCGTGTACTGATCGGACGCTAAATAGTACAGACCGGACGCTAGGGTGCCTGCGTCCAATCAACATCAGAGAGCATCCATAGGGGCATTTTGCTGACCGGGCGCGTCCGGTGGGTGATGACCAGACGCAGGTCAGAGTCCGGTCAGAGCTAACGGCTCTATCTGACACAGTAATGTGTACTATTGACCGGAGCGTTCGGTCACCCTGACTGACGCGTTCGGTCACCCCAAACTTGCTGAGTTTGCCTCCAACCGTTATATTTTGAATGAGGGGGTATAAATACTTATCCCACTTATTCATGAGGGGTCTCTTGCCCAATTGTTCAGCTGTGAAACGCCTTTGGAGTCTAAGGGAGAGCAAGAGCCTAATGTGGTGATTGAGAGTTGATAATCCAATATTAAGGACCTCACTAGTGCATAGGGAGTAGCAAGTGTGCATCCATCTTTCTCATTAGGCCTGTCTTGGTCAAGTGAGAGTTTGTGCTTATTACTCTTGGTGATCGCCATCACCTAGATAGCTCGGTGGTGGTTGGGAGCTTGGTGATTATTCAACTAAGCTTATGGATGACCCAAATCATGTTGTGAGCGGTTGTGGACGATTCACCATGACGGAGTGTCAAAGAATCAGCTTGTAGAGAGCACTTGATCCTTGCGTGGATCAAGAGGGAGCTACACCCTTGCGCGGGTGCTCCAACGAGGACTAGTGAGGAGTGGCGACTCTCTGATACCTCGAAAAAACATCGCCGCATTTCTTTCCCTCTCTTTATTTTGAGCATTTACATTTGAGCAATTCATTTCATGTCTTTATATTCGTAGAATTGACATGCCAGAGTAGGATTGGAACTTAAGATGCAAAACTTTTGTACGACAGAACAATAGAAACACATTCTAGACATAAGGAGCAAAATGGGCTAAGTGTAGGGCTTAATTATTGCAAAAAAAATTAGAATTAGCCTAATTCACCCTCCCTCTTGGGCATCTTGATTCTTTCAATTGGTATCAGAGCCTCGTGCTCCCTAAATTAGGCTTAACCGCCTAGAGCAAGATGTCCCACGGGGATGGACCCCCTCCTATCTTTGAGAGAGATGATTTTTCTTATTGAAAAATTTGCATAGAGGCATACTTAGAGGTTTTAGATGTTGGAGTTCTTAGATTCGCCTCACAAGGCTTCCCAAAACCTAAGGATCCCACCAACCTTCAAGGCGATGAGGTTAACCACGAGAAGTGGAATGCAAAGGCTAGAAACACCCTCTTTAGAGGCCTTTGCAATGATGTCTTTAACCGTATGCGGAACCACAAAGACGCCCATGTACTATGGTCGGACATTTGTGCGCTCCATAAGGGAACCAAGAGTGAGCGTGAGGAACGCTATCACCTTGTGATGAAAAAACTTAATTCATTTGAGATGCTTTCTAGAGAAAGTGCTAATGAGATGTATTCACGCTTGAATGTTCTTGTAGAGGAAGTCAATGGGCTTAGACTCACACAAATGTAACCATCCGATATTGTGAGAAAGATCTTAAGTGTCCTCCCCATTAACAAGTATGGGCATATTGTGATGGTGCTTTATCAAGGTGATCTTTCCACCGCTACACCAACTCAAATATTAGGGAAGATCAATGCACATGAGATGTACATACACATCACTCCACAAGATGGCTCTTCTTCCACCAAGAAGAAAGATTTGGTATTCAAGGCTAGTCAAGAGAAGAGGGGCAAAGCAAGAGTTGATCATGATAGCTCAAGTGATGATGAGATTGATGATGCAAGTCTTACTCTCATGGTGAGAAGAACCACCAAGATGCTCAAGAAGCTAAACAATAATGGTGTCAAGTTTGATGGCAAGAAGAAGAAATTCTTCATTAGTAGTAGAAGGAAGCCCATCTCCGAAATGGATTGCTATAATTGTGGAGAACTTAGTCATATAGCTCATCAATGCCCCAAACCCAAGAAAGACAAGTACAAGAAGTATAAGGGCAAGAAAAATGACTCAAGTGATGAAGATGATGATGAGAAGAAGAACAGGCCATACAAGAAGAAGGATGGCAAGAAGAAGGAATTTCACAAGAAGAAGAAGAATGGCAAAGCATACATTGTTGGTGATTGGCTCACGGACATTGAATCATCAAGTGGCTCATCCAATTATGAAAGTGAGAATGAGAAGGAGAAGGTGGCCGCTCTTGTGATTGATTCTTCACTATTTTCACCGACACTGCCGCCATCATCCTCTACACATCTATGTCTTATGGCCAAGGGTGAACGAAAGGTTCAAAATGATGATGATAGTAGTGGTGATGATAATGCTAGCAATGATAAAAGTGATAGTGATAGTGATGAAGAATTTGAATCACCTTCTTATGATGATCTTGTCAAGTTGCTAAATCAATACACTAAAATCATTAGAAAGACAAGAGCTAAAAATGAAAAGGTAGAACTTGAGAATGACTCACTCTTACCAAAATATGACATAGCCGAAAAAGCTAGTGTTGAGCTTAGAGAAAAAAATAAAATTGTGTCATCCAAACTCAAGG